CACAGCAACAAATTTCATCGGTTGCCGGCTGATGCGTTTGTCAACGTTGGTCCAATGACGCGACTGCGTCTCGACAGCAACGCGCTCATCTGTGATTGTAATCTGGTCTGGCTGGTGGAGCGCCTTCAGGACAAGCCTACGGAGATGGCGGCAATTTGCCAATCTCCGCACGAGATGAAGGGTCGCTCCCTAACTACGATGCTGCCCGAGGACTTTCATTGCAGTTGAGTAAAAACATGTATACCGAGGAGCACGATTTATATGTATATATATATTATATATATATATATATATATATGGTATATATAATCATCCGAGAGCAACAGACTGAATTACATTAGGCAGTTTATTTCCAGATATAACATGTAATTATATTTATTGTATGCACAAGAATTTTTATTGTGTACCTCTTCTCGCTTCTATAATGTCACAATCTAAGAGAATAAGTGAAGATATAGTGAAAGAACAGAAATCTTAAACTTATACTAAAATTTTGTGGGAGTCCTTTATTTTAAAATACAAAATAAGTAAATATTATATTGTACACTGTTTCTCTTGTCATTTCTTTTGAATACTTTGCTGGGAAACAGTTTATCCTTTCATTGTTTTTTCGTTCTTCATACATTATTACACGTATCAATTACGTATATCTGACTCATATACGATTATAACATTTAATTTTATCTCTAATACAAGATTAATACCGATTACGTCGTTATGGTCATTGACACGTCGCGTCGGTCATCGCGTTGCTACATCTCATATATGACGGTGCCTCTCGCTAGGATGATCTCTGTATCTATCGCGTGATTCGGCCTTCATTAAATCGAATCAAATTATTAAATTTCAATCAACTAATTGTCGCTCATTAATTCGAGAACTTTAAAAGTTTTCTCATCGATAACGGAGCGGTAGCAAAATTCTGAAACTATAATATACAATTTGTACTTACAATTTGTACTTACAATTAGTAATATTATTAATATTACTATCAACTCTCGTAAGGACTACATAATTAGAATCTTTTACATAATAAATAAAATATCATGTTCCTCTCCGTGTATGTACTAGCTCGTAATAGAATATCTATTCTTCAAAATTTTCATTGTAACAGAAGATTCCTTTTGCAGCAAAACCGCGTATCGTAGAAGGTCCGGAAGATACCGTAGTGCGATTTGGTGACACGATGACGTTAACGTGTCGAGTAACAGGTGATCCGACACCAAAGATCAAATGGATGAAGAATACAGGATACTCGTGGGAGGCGGATGACGATAGCGAAAAGTATGTAATTCGCGAGGACGGCGAAAAGTACGTGATCCGCGAGGATGGCACCTTGGTAATCTCTGGCACAACCGAACAAGACGGCGGAATGTACGAGTGCATAGCTAGCAGCGATATGGGTTCGACCAAATCCAGAAAGGCCAGAGCAGTGATTACAGCGGCATCTCAGTTGATACTCGCTGAAAGACCAGAATCGCAGAACGTGACTGCCGGTACCGACGTGACTTTCTCTTGTCGAGCATTGGGTAATCCTACACCCAATGTTCGCTGGCTTAGAGATGGCAGATCGATCCCTTTTAGCGATAGAATCTCGTTTGAGAACGACGGCACGTTGTTACGTATCCTCGCGGTTAAGGAAACCGATGCGGGCAAATACGAATGTTATCTCAGAAGTACCGATAACACGATTCATCTCTTCGCAGATTTGAGGGTCGTCGATTTGACGGCGCCCCGATTGCTATTTAGACCGCGAGACATCGAGGTGGAACCGAATGCCATCGTCGAGGTACCTTGCCGGGCTGAGGGCATCCCAAAGCCAGTGATACAATGGAAAAAGGACGGTAGCGCACTCGAAGACAACAGGCTCAAGATCACACGTGGAGGAAGTCTTCTTATTTTTAACGTGACTCCGCAAGACTCCGGCAGGTAAGGATTGATCAAACGCACGAGCATGAGACCGGCTATCGCAACTTTTTACTTTCAATGAGGAGATTATTCTAAAGGAGTTATTTTTTTGTGAATGTGTATAGAAATCATTTCTCACGATACAACGACCTTTCGTTAGAAAAGAATAATTAGTAAATTTAAAAGAAAACATTATAGTTTATACATATTTTAATTTACGTTATACAATATTACGCATTATAAATTCGCTGACTGATAATAAAATCAATCTTTGACTATGTTGATAATACATATATATATATATATATATATATCGAGCTTCCATCAATTTGTCCATCTCTTGATGTATAGGTATAAAGGCTATACAACAATCATCGTCTGTTTCTTTTGCAGGTACGAGTGTTCAGCTATAAACGATTATGGCCGCGCGACCGCCGATGCTTTGGTGCGCGTTCGGCAGCCCGGGGATGCAACAGATACGCTGCTCGTCATACGAGCCTTTCAAAGTGCCACCGAGGAGATCGATCGTGCCATCAATAAAACTCTATCGTCTCTCTTTAATTCCGATGGCTCATCGAAACACGTTAATCCGTTCCGTTTGACGCGATTTCCGAACGCGATCGGTCGGGCGGCCGCTAGACCCGCCGAGCTCTTCGAAAGAACTCTCATCAATATTCGACGGATGGTGAACGCTGGCAATAAGGCAAACGTAACAGATGAATTTCATTACGAGGAAATCTTGACGGCTGAACAGGTGAAGGAGATCGAACGATTATCCGGATGCACCGGTCATAGACGTCGGCAGAATTGCAGCAATAGGTGCTTCCATCACAAATATCGAACTATAGACGGTAGTTGCAATAATCTGCGCCGTCCTACCTGGGGTTCGTCGCATACAGGATTCCGGAGGGTACTGCAACCCATCTATGAGAATGGTTTTTCGATGCCAGTTGGTTGGGAGAAAGGAAGACGATACTACGGTTATCCGAAGCCTGCCGCGCGCCTCGTGTCGACCACGCTAATCTCCACCCACACAATTACGTCGGACGATCAGATTAGTCATATGGTGATGCAGTGGGGTCAGTTCCTGGACCATGATCTCGATCATGCGTTACCGTCGGTATCGAGCGAATCGTGGGATGGAATAGATTGCAAAAAGTCCTGCGACAACGCCGCACCTTGCTTCCCGATGGAAGTGCCGGCGGATGATCCGCGCATCAGCAATAGACGGTGCATCGACTTTGTCAGAAGTAGCGCCGTGTGTGGTTCTGGCGCGACCAGTGTACTGTGGGGCGACGGCTTAATGCCTCGAGAACAGTTAAATCAGTTGACCAGCTACTTGGACGCGTCGCAGGTCTACGGTTACGACGACGAGCTGGCGCGCGAGCTGCGTGATTTAACGACGGATCGTGGATTGCTCCGGGAAGGTCCCACACTTCCCGGTCACAAGCCCCTGCTTCCCTACGCATCCGGTCAGTTTGTCGACTGTCGTAGAAATCCACTGGAGAGCTCGATCAATTGCTTCGTAGCCGGTGACATTCGTGCCAACGAGCAGGTCGGCCTGTTGGCCATGCATACTTTATGGTTGCGCGAGCACAACCGTATCGCTCGCGTGCTACGCGAGATGAATCCACATTGGAGTGGCGAGAAACTCTATCAGGAAGCGAGACGTATTGTCGGCGCAGAGATGCAACACATCACTTATCGGCACTGGTTGCCGCGAATATTTGGATTGGCGACCGAGGACTCTTTGCCACCGTATCGAGGCTACGATTCTAACGTAGACGCCAGTATATCCAATGTCTTTGCCACCGCCGCTCTACGTTTCGGTCACTCGCTCATCCAACCGCGTCTAGAACGGCTGAACGCCTCCTTTCAACCGATTCCTCAGGGTTCTCTCGATTTACGAGATGCTTTCTTTGCGCCTTGGCGACTAGTGGAAGAGGGTGGCGTCGACCCGCTGATCCGAGGTATGTACGCCACCGCGGCGAAATTGAAGTTGCCCGAACAGAATCTCAATATCGAACTTACCGAGCAGCTGTTCCGTACCGCTCACGCGGTTGCGCTCGATCTAGCGGCGATGAATATCCAACGAGGCAGAGATCACGGGCTTCCCGGCTATGTAGAGTGGCGCGATTATTGCAACATGTCGCGCGTTGAAACGTTCGAGCATCTGACTAATGATATCAGCAACGCTCGAGTGCGGCAGAAGCTGCGCGAATTATACGGTCACCCGGGTAATATAGACGTTTGGGTTGGTGGTATTCTCGAGGACCAATTGCCGGGAATGAAAGTCGGACCGCTGTTCAAATGTCTCCTGTTGGAGCAATTCCGACGAACCCGGGACGGCGATCGGTTCTGGTATGAGAATCCGACCGTTTTTCGCGCGGAGCAGCTCGCCCAGATTCAACAAGTCTCGCTAGCCAGAATCTTGTGCGACAACGGCGACAACATCACTCGCGTATCACCCAACGTCTTTCTACTACCCGAGGGTCGTAATGACTTTGTCAATTGTGACGAGATTCCTTACGTAGACTTGAACGCGTGGTCCGATTGCTGTGAAAATTGCGAAGATCGTGACAATACTATCTCCCGCGTGCGCAGAGAGGCTGAGAAATATTTTACGCCCAGTTACGACTATCCAGTCAAGGATATGGATTCGTTGAATCGCGAAGAAAAAATCGAATACTTACAAAAGATGTTTGACGAAAGTAATCGAGAGGCTAAGCGTTTGCAGGAACAGTCTGACAATTTGTCACAAAGAGTGAAAAAACTCGAGTCATTTTTAAAAGACATTAGAACACGACAATAGAGAAACCAAGTGTGTACTTCTCTCTCTCTCTCTCTCTCTCTCTCTCTCTCTCTCTCTCTCTCTCTCTCTCTTCTTTTATTAAATAGCTTTTCAACGAATAACGGGCGACGACTAAAACTTGTTTCTCAGGGTCATGACCTAGGATGCTTACATGGGGTAAATATGGAAATGGGGGAATCCAGCCTCGATAACCTTGACATGACAACATATGTCAAGGTTGCGATAGTATATGTGTTAATTATATATATATATATATATATATATATATATGTATGTATATCTCTCTTTATTTTATGTATATTTATCCACATTTTGATCAAGCTGATAATCTTTAGTTTCATTGCCTATGTGGATATTACAATCCAAGATACTTTGTATGTTGCCCACGAGCAACAACATCCTTACCATCGTTCTTTGTGAGCTCTACCTCCAGGAAACCCAAATTCTTCCCGGCACGTATAGTTTTAGCATCAATCACCACTATTTCACCAGGAAATGCAGTCTTCAAAAACCTATGCCATTAATAATTCTGTTTTACAATATAAGCATTTATATATATTTCTAACTAATAAAAATTATATCAAGTTACAATTACTATGTTTAATTCCCAGTATTTCTCTAACCAATCTCTATCGTAAACTATAAATATGCATTTACATTAATATAGATTTGATTTATTAAAATAAAAAAGGTAATATTGACAATAATAATAATATAAAATAACATAAAAATTGTGTGATATTGACAATAATAATAATATAAAATAACATAAAAATTAAAATATAACAAAATAATAAAATCTAATAGAAATTTCAGATCAAAATCTTACGTTACGTGCAGATCTACAGAAACACCAGGAGGATGATCAGTTTTGTAAGTCATTAATGCATATGTAGATACACAATCTACAATAGTAGTAGTAAAACCACCATGTAAGAAACCACCAATATTCAAATGTTCCTCAGCCACTGTAAATTGTGCTTTGCACTTCCCATCTTACATTTCTTGTTAACTTTTTTGCTGCTTAGCAACCCATATATTAATATATATAAAATAGTAAAAAAGTTAACAAAAAATGTATACGTATTTAACAATTATTCTATTCCAAATAAATCACAACCCATGTGTGGACAATAGTGCTTCGGTTCGGAGCGGCATAGCCGCCCTGAACAAAAAAAAAATAACATCCTACCCGCTTGGAGCTTAACCGTCTAGAAGTTGCAACCTAGATACATTGCAGTGTCCGCTTACAATATTTCTAACCCATTTTAAATTTCGTTCCAGTGAACCGAAAAGTAACGAGACGCATGCGTATGAAATCGAAATGCATATAGAAGACATGGCGATTGTAGGGCTGTGACAGATCTCCTCTAACCTCAATAGTCGTTAACTTTAACGCTTAATAACTCGGTTTGCGGGACAGAGCGACGCTTATTTCTGCCAGATTCTTTCGTTTTATGGAAAAACGCGTCAAATAAGTATAATTTCATCAATTTTTGAGAGAGTTACCCTCCATTGCACCTTACCAATTTTTTTACACTTACATTTTTCATGCATCGACCAAAGCCCTTGCCATTTGCCACTTTCTCTAAAACGGTTTTTATAAGTTCCATTTTGCACGACATAGTCTTTGACTTTTATATCTCACAGTCACACTATGAACCAAAAGAAGCTATATGTATGTATATAGTCGAATAATTTAATTCCTACAAGTTCGCGACTTAAACTTTAATTATTTAATATATAATATCGCATCATATAATAAGCTTAAATCACGGTTTATGATTTACAAATACAGTTTATTTAATTATATATACCTAAAATTTATTACTAATGTTGAAAAAGTATAGTGCACGTAAAGTAAAAAATTCTTATGTGTAAAAAAATAATCTTATGCATTATTAATACATAGAATATTGTTTCATCATCATAGTTAAAATGTAAAAATACTAGCTATTTCTAGGCAAAAACCTGAGAGTGGTCATCCCGGCCTTTTTCATTTAAGCCCTAAACACAATGCGTGGGAATAGCGATAGCGATAAGTTGAAACCAGGAAGTAAGATATAAGGAGACTCCACTCCGTAAAATAAAAGTGGACCCATTTTAGGTTTCGAGTTCAGCTTCCGATTCTGATGAGTGCGAGTAAGAGAAATGATCATTTCTCTTACTCGCACTCATTATGCGCAGCACTACTAAATTCACGAGCGCTGCGAGTGTCGAGAATCGGAAACGGAACTCGAAACCTAAAATGGGTTCATGTCTTGTAGACTGGCGAGACCGAGTGGAGTCTCCTTATATCTTCCTTCATGGTTTCAACCTATCAAAAATGCGTATTCCGGTGTGTTCGATTTCTGATAAGTTGAAACTTATCGCTATCGCTATTCCCTCGCATTGTGTTTAGGGCTTTATCGCTAACCTCACAGCACTCATAATGTAGGCTACAGTCCACTAGAGTCCTAGATATCATCAGAGAAGCGCAACCGATGTTACGCTTCCTGATTGGCGTGACTGTCAGCTAATCATGATATTCGTTTATTGATACTAAAAATGACTGACTAATAGACGATTGGTGGATTTCATAGTTCGTCTGCAAACGACGCCATTTTTAGTACTTTTAGTAGTTTTTGCAATACTAAGCCGGTTGCGCTTTATTAAAAAAGTAGTATTCGTAATATTAAACGTTAAATTTGTAAGGCTAGAAAAAAAGATTAAAAATAACACACAAAGTCAGAACAAAAAGATATAAATTATTTATTTAAATGTATTTGTAATAAGTAATAAAAATACATGTAAAAATCGATCAAGAACAATTAACAGGGTTACCGTAATTATCTAACAAATGATCCTGTAAATTATCGAGATATATAGGTCCATCTCCCACTTTAGTGTATATCATATATTTAAGTTGTCCTGGTGGATACTTTTGAAACTTTAATTTCTCCAAGAGACCCTGTACAAGATAACACTTGAAGTAAAGAATATTTCATAAACACACATGTTTAAACAATATATGTAGATATATCAATAGATATATACTTGAGAAGGTTTAATTCCTTCTACAGGCAATCCTCTTCTATATTCGATAGCGTTGTCAGAAGGAGGAGGAAAAACATGATCTAAAACACCTATTACCACTGGTACATCTTTCTCTAATAAATATAATGTAGCATTCGGCCCAGCGTCATAAGTATAAGCAACCTAACAATGCGTATTGTCAACAAAATAAAACTTATCTAACCATTTTCACGATATAACTTACAAAAAAATACAAACATGAAAAATATTTCAATATACCTTCACGTCGTTAACTGCATTATTATAGGAATGTACAAGATTCATGATATTGTTAGAAATATTGTTCATATAAATACATGGAGGATATGTATCCAAACACACGGCATGGAACTGATTAGAATCCTTCATAGTGAGTTCGGCAAAAGTTTTGAAATCCTTCTCAACTATTGCTTGTTGCATTTTATTCGCTCGTTCTGGGACTATGTGCATTATTCTATGTTGCAAGAGTTGAGATGTTTCCATGCTTCGTTTCATACCTACTGTACTTGGAACCTTTTTTTGTTCATCGCTAACCTATAGATTTATATTTTAATATCTATATAAATATCTTTACATCTCTGTTGTCTCTCGCTTTGTTATTGTATCTACCTTTCTTATCAATATACATATGTAGAAAAAAAAATTTCTTTACCACTAGCACTAAAATCCTCATTTCAGGCCAATGAGATGCAGGCACGATTTGCTTTGCTAAACTGTCTATCCCACACTTGTTCGAACCCATATACCATCTTACAAAACCACCCATAACACTGCGACATGCTGATCCAGAACCAGAACGTGCTATCCTACTAATGTCTCCCTACAGAAATATGTAATCTTTAGAATACATATAACATAATTTCCAAATATATTAAACAGCAGTATTAAATAAAAAAATAAATTATCATACATCTATTTTGTAAAGCTTGGCTAATGCTGCCGTAAGACATGCATACCCTGCAGCACTAGAAGCTAAACCAGCAGCAGTTGGGAAATTATTCTTCGAACATATATGAACCTTCCAATTTTCTGTATACCCAGATAATTGCGAATGTTTTCTAACTTAAAAAAAAATCTTAGTTTTATTTACAATAAACATTTTTTTTTAAATATCATACACTAACTTACTCATTGTTAAACAATTTTGAAGTCTTGTATTTTGTATATCTTCTTCTCTGAAAAATGTCAGTTAATCACACATGACAAGAATAATAATGAAAATGATAATTAAACATACTTTCCATTCAACCAGATACGATCTTCTTTGAAATGAGATTTGAGCATAACAGTAGTTTTTGCATGTAGCTATACAAAAATACCATAAATATATTTAGGATATCTATTGTATTTGTGCATCTTCTTTCATATACATTTAAAACTTTACATTTACCTGAGCTGTATCTAAAGTTACACTTATGGAATCATTGGTTGGTAAATTTAAGGATTCATCCCTCTTTCCCCCTAAAATCATACAAATCTAAAATGTTAATTTTTACTTGGAAAAACAAATATGAGGGTAAAGGACAAAATATTTCCATATTGGTATTGTATAACTATGTTTCTCATTACTTTTTACTGATAGCTATTCAAATGCAAATACATTCACATAGCACAAACTGCATGAATGCTGATGTGTTCAAACATTTAAAAACATGTGTACATATATAATAAAATTAACTGTAGCTTATAATAATTAATTTGTATTTATTACTCAAATAAGTAATGCAATTTTCAAAAGTACTTTTTGGATAATTAATTATGATCTACAAACGATCTTTTTTTCAAAATGTGTCGTGAAGGCTTATAATTTCAAATTTATTAAATAATAATAATAAACAATTTATGATTTTATATGTAACAATTACATTAGATTATACAATATTAAATTAATAGCTCCTGCTTACAGAGAAATAAAAAGAGGGTCGGACAATACGTCTAGAATAAATACATTGGAATAATCTGAATAATGAGTCTAATGCAAGTTTAAAACTGGCCACAATATATTTCTGAAAATATATATATGAAGTAACTCGGACTTCGAACCTCAGACCTTGACATATATCTATTTTAGTTGAGTGATCTTTCAAGACAGAGTACATCAATAACATTTTTTTAATACAACACACACACACACCACACATATATATATATATATATATATATATATATATATAATACGTATATATGTGTAAAATATATTATCTGTCTCGAAATATAAAAAAAATCATAATGAAACTGTTGAACATTTTAATTTCTTACTAAGTAATAAAGCTTTGATTATATATACGTACAGTATTTAATAACTGCAATATTAACTGGTGCAATGCAAGTAATAGTACTCATGATTGAGGTTGTGTTTATCTGCGCGACTCGCTTCGTGTCCAATCTCCAATGTCATCATTATATCAGCGTATCAGCGTTTTTATATATTATATATACCGAAAAAAAAGCCACGTGTATCACCATAGATTTGTAAAAACCTAGCTAGACTAGACATAGGCCTGTATTCATAGTCAGTTCTTATATTCAAGACCGTCTTAAGTTTAAGCCATACTTAAGCCAGAAACACATAGAAAAACGTAAAGGTTGGATTATACTGGCCCTAATCTGTTAACTTAAGATTGATTTATACTGGCCGTAAACTGTTAACTTATGCCGTAATCGGTAAAAATTGACCAATCACAGTCGAATGAGAGGGGAATAATCGATTATAATTGGTCAATTTTTACAGATTACAGCATAAGTTAACAGATTACGGCCAGTATAATCCAACCTTTAGTCTCGCTATCTCGTTCGCTCTCGCAACGTAGTTCCCACAGCTCGAAAATGGACGTTGGTGCCGCTAGTGTAAAGGATTACAAGACCGCCATGGCCGCTCTCAGGTAATTTCTCTTTGGTAATAGCCAGTAATAGCATATAGCACCGTGAAGGCGCGAACACAGGGTTTCAGAGTTAAAAAGTAAAAGTAAAGCAAACTGGATGCTCAATCGTTGTCTGCTAAACGCAGTCTTTGTTAATATTAAATTAATTAATTTATCAGGATTTCTCAGTTCTCACTTTTATTTTTGATTAAATTATAAATAAAAAAAAGACAATATATCTTGAACACGCAATACGCATTCCTCTCAAGCAAGTGCGAGGAATCAGAGAGAAATATATTTTGTGTGTATATGTGCGCGCGCGCATACACAATAATTAGCAATCTGTAATAAATATTTTATATCCAACAATATACTACATATGCATATACACAATAAAAACAAATTAATTTTTATAAACTATGCTGGGTTAGATGGTAATCCCATAGACCATGCATCCAGTAACTTTTTATCCTGAGGTCCAGCACCCAAACTAACCATGAGTCCAGAAAGATCGCCACAATGGCCTCGTCCACGCATTGCATGAACAACTTTTGCAATGCTGCACACAGTAACAGAAATATATATATATATAGATATACTTAATTACTATATTAAAATATGAGGAATTTAAGAGAGAAAAAGTATATGTTCAAACAGAAGTTATATAGATATACGTAAATAATACACGACAAGAAAACATCTGATATCTATCTAAAATTAATATGATGGAAGCGAAATAAACTAGCATATATAAATGACAATTCATACTTTGCCCATTCTTCCTGAAGAGTCGTAAAGTGTGCTTTAAGAACTGAATTCCCAAGTTTTTCATTATCGAGTGATTTTTCAATTTTTGTTAACAGAGTTGGAAGTTTTGTTGGTAAAGAACCGGTCCATTTAACTATATGGGATTTTGCATTCTCAATTTTGTGTTCATTAAGTATTATGTCTAATCTGCATACAGTTGCACAAGGTAAGGGAACTGCTACTGAGGTATCTACACCTACAAATTTCAATAAAATATATTATTATAAAATACTTCTTTTATAAAATATAATCTGTATATATAGTTATTATGTTCTTTATATACCGATAAAATTACATGTGTCAGGATCCATGTATTCCAATGTTTGTATTTTTACCCGTCGACATGCTCTTGGAACAAGACTGCTAAGTCCATACAAAGATTCCAATCTATGAATCTTTGGACCTCTCACCAAGACTTGAACACCAGTTAAACAGGAATACAGCAATTGCCTAAACTGATCTTTCCCTAGTACTCGTTTTAAGTTTCGTAAAATTACAGCAGTAGATCTTTCCGCAATTTCAGAAAATTCTGGCAAAAGTTCAGAATCATCCCAGTTAAAATTAAAATTTACTGGCAATTTTGCGTTCAATAAAGTAAAACCTTCTTCAGTTTCTGTAAATTATATGTAATGTTATAATTTTCATTAGAAAAAAAGATTTATTTTAATACCAATTGTTATATTATAGAAGAATACTTATAATTGCTAACCAATTTGATGTTCAAAATTATAATTAAGTTCATCGTCTAATAAACTCATTGGGAAAATTTCTATAAAATGTCTCCCACCAGCACTGAGAATCCATACTAACCACATGTGAATTCTGAAATATATATACAATATATATGTGTATAGCATAGTATACAAGATAATTAAAATATGATTTGAGCAAATAATTATAAAAATTGTATACAATATTTTATCACGATTTACATGGAGGATTAATGAAACACTTGCCTTACAAAAACATGCTTTTCATTTGTTATATCGGTAAGTGTTCTAGATTGTTTAATAGAAGTGCTATGACAGCCCATTCCATCATTTGCTGTCGTCAATCTCATTGCTCTTTGTGGACATTCTGCTTCTTCTACGTTATATCTTCTCTCTGCAGAATCTTGTAGTTCCCTAATTACCTCTTTTAAATTGTCAATCAAAAATGGCCACATATTCAACAAAAATTGTTTATCTCTCATAAAAACGATAAAACTGCACCATCTTCTAAATCCTCTTGCCTATAAATATATCATTTTATAAATGTACCAGCATAAGATCGATAGAATAAAAGTATGATAAAATCTTTAGATTCCAGAGCAATTTTAAATAATAGCATGATTTGAAAAATTTGTTGTAATAACTACCAAACATGCTTTTCGTTGCATAATTCACCTGGGCATCTTTCAATGTAAAAGTATGACTTAAAACATGCCCCCTGTATTCATCTCCAAAGTAGCAAACACCTTCTTTACCAGGATGCACTTCACAACTTAGACTCCTTGAACAAAAGATTTATAATAATAAACTTTAAAAGACACAAAACATATATCATATGTATATTTTATGCATAATATCAAATATGGAACTTTAATCTTTAATTAAATCATTATGATTTATAAATAAATTATTTATGTATGTGATGTAAAATATATTTTATATATTTATTATAATAATTCATATTCTTATAATAATTTTTAATATAAAATTTGTAAATCAAAAAGTAAAAAAAATAAAATATACCTAACGCAAGCATGCTTTAGCAGGTTTCCAATATCTTGCATTAATGATTGCTGAGCAGACAAAAATGATGTTCTTGTTTCATGTTCGTTACTTAAATATTTAACATTCCCAATGCTTTGACAACCTTCGCATTCATCTTGTCCATTTTCTAAGGAAGCATGACCTTGTCTTAACACTTCTTTGGGTCCATAAAATTTTAGTTTTTCTATATTCTGTGTGTCATAGTTACGATATGTTTGCGTGGTAAATATCACTTTAGGTCCATGTATTTCACAGAAAGTGCATAATGCAATTGCAGCATTCATTGCTCTTAGGAATTACAGGTTTTTATATCCTTTATATTTATCTCAGAAAAGAATCCAAAAATTATTTATTATAGTTCTTCACATCATCTTGGATTGTTAAATAAATAGAATAGCCTAGAAGTAGATTCTTTATAAATATGTATTCTACAATCTGTACCTATACATATGCAGATATATATATATATATAAATTCTATTTTATTACAATAATATTGTAATATATATTACAAAAATATGTAATAATTAAAAATGATGGTTATATTCTACGAAATATGTATTATTAGCATTCGTAGAATGATCCACATGAACGTAATGGAATATTTATGTAATTACAATTTGATTTAAAACATTGAATCAATTTACAACATAACCTCTGTTCAAATACTTTTTTATAACACGTAAACCTATCATTTACCTGCTTCTTCGTAAATTGCTCAGCAAGACTTCACGACAAAATAGATTTTTTCATCCTTTTCACGTGATAAAACAAAAATGAAGTCTGGGCAGAGACACGTGACATTATGATAGCTAATCTCGACATTCACACAGCACACACACGCTCTTGTATACATACATACATGTATATATATATATATAAATACACACGTACACACTCGGAATAAAACTAAATTTACCATTTGTATGTTGGGTTGCCAATTGAAAGGTGCTATATCAAAATAGAGGCCGCATACATCCGATAATATAAATTATATATACATACATATAGGTACATGTTAATTATACAAATTGTATATATTATATTATTTTTACGTATAATTTTATTAGGATAGACAAAATATTAAAGAGAAATTGAAGAAAACTTTTTATTCACTTCTAAACATCAAATTCATAACCAAATTTTAATTTGACACCTTCATAAGCAGCTCTCATCCATATGCCTACAGCATGCGCTCCAGGATGTGGATATTTGAATGTCTACACACATGTATAAATAAGGATGAATTATAATTCTGCCTCAAATCTAAATATATATGTATGAGACACACATGCACGCACGTACACATTGATATAATCAAATACCTTGCAATTATTTGTAGAACCAACAGAGAGAGATCCCGACATATGCATAGTTTGCATAGCAAAAGTTTCAGCAGCTTTGACAGCTTCTCCGAATGCATTGATAGGATTTAAACCAGATTTTAATGCGTCTCTTAATTTATTTTCCGCAGGTATCAAAGCATCTAACATGGTTCGATCACCAATTGATGTTCCACTAACTTCAGATATCATCTTATTTGCAGATGTTAGAGCGGTTAACCACATATCAACAGTCACTTGATCATCATTTCGAAACTTAAGAAAACTCTAAAATATTTCTTATATAATTTTTTCTCCGTTTTAATGATGAAAAAAGATTGTGCTATTAATATAATCTTACTTTAGCAGCAGTATAAAAAAATAACGAGTATATTCCACCTTCTAAGCTATCCATTTCTTTTTCAATAACATGGCTTATTTGTACAAATGTTATAAAAGGTCTCGTTGCTAAAATTCTCCCTTCCTGTAATGCATACCAATATTTACAATTGGTAATGACAAAAAAAACAAAGAAAGATTTATTTGACTCTCTTTATTTTTTTATTTATCGCATAACCTTGATTGCTAATTTTATGGCACTGGCACTATGTGCAAGTGTGGTTCCATAATTTCCATCACTACATTCTCCATCCATTATATCGAGTTGTCTTGCACACGCTATTAAAGCTTCGCATGCAAATGTTAAAACTATAAGAAACGCTGAACTATTCTGAGGTTGCATTATTGGTCCTATATTGGATATATTATCTTCGCATGCCATCTGTAATTAAAAAACTTACATCATAAGCAGTAGAAAGAAATAATTTACAATTATGTTTATCATTGCAAAATGTAATTCATAATTGACTGATAATTAAACAAATTAAATTGATATTACCTGAGAATTTTGCTCTTCCACTTTATGTAACATTTCGTCATTCTTCATCATTAGCGTAACACGATTGTAATCTCTATATTTTCTAATTATTACACTATACTCGCGATATGGACATATGTGTGTTAGGTTCTCTAGTACTGACTAGTATGTAGTACACACGGTGCAATAAGTTGAAATGAAATAAATATACGTTTGCTTCGGGAGCGGTTCACTTGCACACTGTAGCCACACTGTGCTGTAGTTATTGCCCACTGCCTATCACAGCAACTTTTGCGTAGGGAATTTTTTTATTTTTTTTCTAGCGTTGTAATTGGCTTGCGCGCAACTGGTTCGTATGCAATTGATATAACTCTTTGTTTCATTTTAACTTATTGCACCGTGTGCACTAGTTCAGACAGTGCAGAAACAAAAAACAGACCCTATGTAAACTATAGAATAGGGGGTTTTTGATTGAAATAGTAAGTATAAGCTCTGCGAAACAATATGGCTTATGGGCCTTCTACAATAAGCCGTAAGTCACAAATCATAAGTCATAAGCTAGAAATGGACCAATCACAGTCGTTAATTTTTAGTTTCTTACTTCCGATTTATGACTTATGGCTTATTGTAGAAGGCCTATTATGCTTCAGGTCTTAATCCCAAGATCATAAAAGTCAACCAATAAAGCTGCCAGTTCTAACCCAAATTTGAACTCTATTAGCTGAATTTTAGGATTAAGACCTTAAGACCGAAGCATAAATCAGGCATAAGATTTTCATTAGGTACATCTAGAGTCCTAGATATCAGAGAAGCGCAATCGATGTTCCGCGTCCTGATTAGCTGACTGTCAGCCAATCATGACATTCATTCAGTGGTATTAAAAATGGCTGACTAATAGACGATTGGTGGATTTCATATTTCGTCTGCAAACGACGCCATTTTTAATACTTTTCTTAGTAATTTTGCAATACTGACTTAAGCCGGTTGCGCTTCTCTGATATCTAGGACTCTAGGTACATCCAGAAACACGACTGCTCAGCACTAAGCGCTCAATAAGCTTTTTTATCTAATTAGCATATTCCATTAGATCTAAAAATATAAACCAAACCGGTACAAGAGCTTACTGAGCGCTCAATCGTGCTTCTGGATGCACCCATTGGCTCAATTCAAATGCTACGCGCGAAAAGTATATTTTACGCACGCACGCACGCACTAGAGTCCTAGATATCAGAGAAGCGCAACCGGCTTAAGTCAGTATTGCAAAATTACTAAGAAAAGTATTAAAAATGGCGTCGTTTGCAGACGAAATATGAAATCCACCAATCGTCTATTAGTCAGCCATTTTTAATACCACTGAATGAATGTCATGATTGGCTGACAGTCAGCTAATCAGGACGCGGAACATCGATTGCGCTTCTCTGATATCTAGGACTCTAGCACGCACGAAGTAAAATTATATGTTTAATAAACTGTATCTAAATATCTGAAAAATACTATATGTATAATATTAAAAGAGAAGAGAGATTTAAAAGTAATTATAAATGAAATTTATATTATATACACGTAAATTTAATTTTTATATGGTATACTATATCACAAATCAAATATGCAATACGAAATAATTGACGATAAATTAGGATGTTATTTTTTTTTCTCTGTATTTAATTCCAGTATTTGTACCAATTTAATTATAAATAGTAATTTGCGTTATATACTAGAAACACTAAAATAGAAATAAAGTACAACCTGAGAAGAAATATTTCTGTATGTATAAAGAGGTATTTATTCATGATCGTGTAAAATTCAACTGCATATAGCTGAATTTTATTGCACTACATGACGACTACTCTCGCAAACTGCGACGCGCTTTGTCAGACGCGTAATATTGTGGCATTTAAATTGTCGCTCATTGCAATAATTCAACAGATACGTAACAATATGCGAGGGACAAACAATTTAACTTGCCACAATATAACAATTCGATGAGTGCGAGCTCAACAATATGCATCATTGCATCACTACAAATGATGAACAATTGAACTGCACTCGAAGAATAACAATAGGTATGACGATTTTCTTACATATATTATCAGTCTACAAATGTATACTAAATTTTTGCTCATGTAAAAGTCAAACACAAATTGTCGTAACAAATATACCCGCAATTATGTCATGCATTCACACGATCGTTGCATGCAATATATACAACATTCTAAGATTAAAAATTCATCATAATCTCACGCAGGATCACGCAGGATTCATACCGCACAGCTATGGATCTGTTGCTCATACTAATGTTAGCCCTATTTTGGTGTATATATTGGATCGCGTTCTTGATTATTCGATGCAGGTGTATTGAAAATCTAATCAGAATCGAAATTCTTTAACGACTGGGTTTATTCGCGTATTTTGCATCATTCTACTTATTGTCCACCAAAAGTTTTGTGAAACTGCTGCGTTTCAAAGTTCTATACAAAAACGTCAAATATTCTGTACCTTATTAAAATTGAGCAATCTAATAATATGGCAATAATAAAGCTGTATCAATATTTTGCGGAAACTTTAACAAATGCTTATAAACAATCGTTATTAAATCATTTGAATTATTAACACTATCATTGCGTACGTGTATATATATATATTTATATATATATATATATATAAACTCGCAAATATACTGACTTATCGCTGTATAACATGTGATATGCGTATTATGTACAACTCGAATGATATTTTCACAGGTAATTTGATACGACTTGATACATGTGTTAAATTCATATCCGAGATCCTCATCATATTTAACACTATGTCATTAATTTTCGAACTTGATCAGATTTTAATCACATATTTAAAACGCGATATTAGTAGCACGAGCTAATTCATTAATTTGCATAGCACGAGCTCTGTCATACTACTTCTAAAGTAGTACAAGTCCTTGGAAAAATAATCTTAGTTGTATACGAATATCTCAGAGCGACTTGGTGATATTGTTAAACAATCGTTTGCCCCACCAAGATTCCAAATCAAATGGTTTAAAGTCTGAAACAATTTATTTATATTTTGCCACTTACTTTGTACAATCAATTACAGTATAAATAACATAACAGAAGAATATTAATTACTCTTAAGACGCTAATCAATTACTCTTATGTTAGAATATCAATTTGATATAATATAATTGTGAATAATGATATTGCACTTACCTTGCAGACTATCGTTTGGTTCACCATCATTGTAATATACTATCGAATCCTTAGGACCTATAAGTGTATAAAAAAGTTATATTATATATAATCCAAATGTTTTTCTTTTTAATAAATCTAATGAGTATGAGTGCGCGCGAGCACATACACACACTCACACACGACCCAATTACAAATAAATCATAGTATGTACAATGGAGACATAATAATAACTTTTCACAAGAAATAAAAAAAGATAAAGCAATTCTTTTTAGAAAAAAGATGTATAAAAAAAAGAAAACAAATGATGCAACCACAAATTTTAGTTAGTTGTACATATATATCGCTACTCACTGCAAAGTTCTGCACATTCCGTATCATTGCAACATTCGCTTCTTTGCCGTGTATTAACTTGATTCCATGCTGTTAAAAATAATAAACAAGCAAAAGTAATATATTTAGTTCATCGTTGAAAAAAATGCATACATGAGCATACAATATATATTTTTCTCTGACTAAAATTTCATTTTCTTATTTTGTAAAGTTTATGGCTTTACATTCAGTCTCTTTCATACTTGAGACGAGATTAACTCTATTCTTTATTTTACACGTGTATAAAATATTTTCGTACTTACATTCGTAAATAAATTTGATAAGTTCCTCATGCTGTGGCGTGATAACTTGTTGCATCTGATGTCGCTGCGAGATAAACTTAGATTTTCCATTCATATGGAAGACTGGCTTTGGTACGTGACTGTGAACATGAAATATATGAATATAAAGTATATATGAATATAAAGTATAGAGAGAAGCTTTATTGCAGATATAGCATATGAAAAGTAAATAGTTGTCTCATACGTGCGTTTATTACACACATGCAATCTTATGCAACATCAGTGTTAATGAACAAAATGATTTTGCTCCTAGGAAATATAAAGAAAAATCACAGATAGTTTTAATAGATATATTCATACATGAAGTGTGAATGAATGATTTAAGACTACACATATTTATAAACCAAGTTCCTTTTCTGGCTTGTATATGCTGGATGAATATATATATATATATATATATATATATATATATATATATATATATATATATATATATATATATATATATATTCACATGCATTGTGTTTCATTAGATATACTCTATTAAGAATCTTTTTCAATGACATGCATCAATATAATTGTTAATGTTTTGATAATTTTACAAATTCTGATAAATTGCGTAATATTGAAAGAAGCGGTGGCTACCCGGCACGGCACGGTGGAAAAGAAGGAGTAGTAACGTAAAAAGAAAAAGTGCTGTCGAGAAAGAGGGTTATTAGAACGCTGCTCTTTCTTTTTCTCTCACCAGATGATCTCGTCGTGGTCATCTTCGATATCGGCTTTCCTCGTCAAATCACGTAAAGTTTCCAGTCTCTCGAGATTCTGACTGATTCCTGCGAAAAGCGAAAATTTAATTTATGTAAGCTCCAAACCATCTACAATTGTTCTCTCAGGCTAGACGGCACATTGAACGTTGAGAAATACAAATTTAGAGTACCTCGTCTTGTTTTCGCTACAATCTTGCTAGGTCCTTTTGATACGGTATACATGTTCCTCGTCCTCGGATAAGCGCGGAAGCTTCTTTTCACGAACGCAATGCCAGGTCATCCGCGATCAGTCACGCCTGTCGCGTGTTTTCGAGTAACTCGTTGCCGATTACAACTGCCTGAATTGCTTAAAATTGCTGAATTTGATGCCGATTGCTAATATTGTGACAATTCAACAAGGGGACTGAACCATCTATGAAGTCAGCTGAAATCAACCGAAGTCAGCTGAAGTGAAGCCTGATGATATTGCCGGCTACCACTTAGGCACTTACCACTGCTCGAGTGCTCGCTCTCGCTGCTCACAATACTCATCAGTCTCACCCTACCCATCCATCGCGACATATGATTACGAAATTATTCATCAGGCGTCATCAGCGCAGCCTATAACGATGAACTGCACTAACAATACGACTTAGGACCTTGGCACACAAAAAACTTAAGGAAGAAAGAATTGGGAGATAAAAAACTGATGGAGGGATATGTAGGTATACTGCTCCAAACTCAGCTCAAAATTGTTCATACTCGTATCGATGCTTCATATAATACTTGTTTCAGTACTAGAGATTCTACCACTATTCCGTACACGTGGTAAGAGAGAGAGAGAAATTATTTTTCAATTTCTATAAATTTACTATAAAAATTTATACTTCTAATAAATTTTTTTAGAGTAAAAAAAGAGGGGAAGAGAACTCAAAATATGCTGCAAATATAATTCTTTTTAAGATAATGCAATAAATAATGTCTTATGTTTGATATTGTAATATGGTATGTAGGGACACAAAAGATATAAAAATAAAAAGAAATTTGGTTGTGATGCACAGTTTTATTCTCTGCGTAAATCAAGAGTACAGATTATCCTTATTAACTTTGAGTTCAGTTAATACAGGCACCGCAGGTGTACTTGTTCTTTTAGCCATCTATTTGCACTAAATATGCATAAATATAGTAAAAACGCAAATATAAGCAAATATATGATAGGAAGTATAGTATTATGAATATGTAAATGTTAGAACAATCGATAAAACTATTTAAAAAAAATCAAGAGTTTTTCATTCTTTCTCGGAGCTATAAACATAGGATGTTAAAAAAATCTCTAATTACAAATATTACTGTTGCGTTTACAATTATTTTTCAGAATATATTACTCATTTATAATATATTATTACATATAACTGCAATAATAATAGCAGTAATAATAAATTTATGCTACTAATTTATATTAATCTATAATAGTAAAGTCTCTACAAAGTCTCTATACAATAGCAAGAATTATAATAGTAAAAATAATAATAAATCTGTAAAATGTATCTCTGCATATAGAATGTCAAACAGCTAAGAGACAAAATTTACTTCAACATAGAAAAATAGTTTATCAATATATAGAGAAGATTGATTAAATTGGATACACTCGTTCAGATATCCATGTATCAATTCGAAAATTTCATCTAATTGTAATTTCACGCTTAATTTATCACTTTGAGGCAAAATTTATCATAATAAAACCTGTTGCGATATATTATATAATCTGGTTATTTCCATGGACGCATTGTCGCTTATGTACAAATGTAAACTAATCTCCTTAAAATGCTATTATTACATAATAATGAATTGTAATGATTCAAAGAACAACTTTAAAGCAACTTATCTATCATTAATACATGTGTATGTGTTTGTGTGTAACCACAATTTTATAAGTGAAACAATATCTCAGACATGATTGCATATGATCATCTTATTAAGTACGTACAAGCACAAGCATTTTTCATATGTATATTTTCCCCCCATATTTGTATTTCTCTCTTATTTCAGCCCCTTACGTTAAAAATACAAATCCGTAGCTTAAATTATTGACGATATTGTGGAAACGTGGTTTCATCAGAGGGAAAAATTGTAGATACATGCCGTTTATAAAATAGCACGGCAGTCCTAAATAAGTTTAACCTCCCATATACAACAGATCATTTTAAGGTACTTAAAGAGCGAATAAAGATTTGTCTTGATCTTTATTAATTTGGCGCTGAATGTTCTGATTACCGGTAGTCGAGGAATTCGAGGTGGCAGTTGTGGCTGTAGGGAGCGTTGGCAAAGCTTCAGCCGCGGCTGCACGTTCTGCTAAGAAGCGCTCAAATTCCGATGATGTTAAAGACTCTTGATCACCTTGCCCTCCGGGCTGTAATATAAATTATATTGTTTAATACTGACACTTTTGTAAATCTAATTGCACGAAAAGAGAATCTTTTACATTTATGCATTACAATTTTGAACATTTAGCTTGCTTGAATATATGCAGTATTTGTAAAATTGATTAAAAAGCCTAAATTGCTAAAGTACTTACTGTGCGATCTAACCAGGCTGCCATTTCATTGAATTCAGATTCCAGATTCGGCTAAGTATAAAAAAACAAACACAAACATTGAACAAACAACAAAGAAATACAAATCATACAAATTATAATGTTGATACAAACAAAATTCAGTACTAACATAATCAAAATTAACATATGTCTTCATGCTTTTAAAAGCTATATGCAATTGTGATAACGAATACATGACATGTGTAAGCACGATTCAATTAGAAATTACTGTACCTCCTTCTTGTCCTTCTAGCGCATGCTCATATAAAATATCGAGAACATGGACAACACAAATTTACATACAACATTAGCGCATGCAGTGCAATTGACATCAAACTGAATCGTAAGAATTGAATGTTTATATCATTATGTAAGTTACAATATTTTAGAAAAATGTATTTATTAGAAAAGATTTATGAGTGTAGTGACTAATCAGTGTTTTTAGTTTAAAAAGGAGAGGATGTTACGCACACTAGCACTAGTAGTGGTCTGTTGAGGTAATTTAGGATTATTGCGGTTGAGAATTGCCGTACTTAGACTCCCTCCTCTCACCTGCTCCAAATTATCCTCGTATTTGCTGCCACTGTAATTGGAATATTAAAGTATTATTGAAAGTATTATTGAAAATTAATCTATACAAATATATATTTATACATATATTAAAGAAAATTTGTAATGTATGATGAGCTTTAAAATATATTAATTAATACGAATACAAAGCCTATAATAGTCTAGCTTGGATCTTTTAATCGCTTACATACTATCGCTTATAAACTACCGCGGTACTATCACGAATTAAAATTAATAATAATTAAATTATGTAATATAATGTTTTCTTCTTTTATCGTTTTTGTCCATGTTATAATTGCAAAAAAGATTGGAACTTTGTATATTAATATTTTCCATGTTATACAACTTTATTACGTAAGATTTAAAGAAAGTATATCACAAAAAAAACTTCTATATATACATACCTTTTACTAAACCATAAAAAAATTTTACACACACGCACACAATTCTATTGAAATCATTTTAACAATCTTCTGTTATCATGAATAATGAAATTTTAGTTATATATGTATAGTTATACCATCTAATATACAATACCTATTTTTTGTTGTTTCGTACGTTGCATTACGCGATTGTGCAAACATATCAAATTCATCGTTATCTCCTTCTCTTTTCTCCTTTTGTCTTGTGTTTTTGTCTATACCTTCAGCCGTATCTAATATTTAAAATACGATATAATAGTGTCAACTCTTGAAAAAAAGTTCACATGAACGTAATGCAAAGAAAATATATAAGAAATAACAATTTTTTTAATAATATTTAACACAATTCTGCACCATGTGCAATTTTACATTAGATTTATATAACTTTGACTTACCGAGTTCATTCATTTGCTTTGTTAAATTATCCACATCATCAGATAAGTCTATAAGTGAGTCCGCTTCTCGTTTAGTAAGAGTTTGAATCGATTCAGCATTCGGTGGTTGTGCAATTGTCTGGGCTAATATAGTGCTCGCTGGTACTTGCATTTTATTCTTCGTATAACGCGTATAACGAAGAAACAGATTATTTAATTCATCATTAATGCGTAATAGTTCCGCTGTCATTTCATCGTGAGCCAATTTACCAATTAAATCGACAACACGTTCTTGCATCGCTTTACATGTGGAATGAAGTTCCTATAATAATTGTTGAGACATGGAATTACGACGTGAAATTTATATATATATATATACACTGGAATTTATCAAAGCAATTTTACAAAAATAAGAAAAAATCTAAAAATATGAATTGAAACAGGGTGAAACTTTGTATTCAATAAAATTATAAGAAACTAAAGAGACATATATACAAGATTCCTACGTTCAATAACTCAAAATCCGCAGAATCTGGTTGTTGCTTGCAACTTTGATCTGGACTTGTAAAATATGCCAACATTTCTGATAATACACGCATATTTCCTTGTACAACATCAAGTTCACTTTGTAATTTGGCCAACTGTTGTTCGCTTAATTGAGTTAACTGGCCAGACTGTGATGTTTGAGAAGGTAAATGTTGTGTTCCTAGAGACGCAGGCTGTTCATTCGTAGTTAGACTTGCCGGAATTTGCTCTGTTTCAGGTACACTCTATAAAAATATTATTGATCAAAAGACTTTCTGACATACAAATAGATCAAACAGATAATAGTTTTATTTCAATTGATAACTGACTCTTACTCTTTCAGGAGTGATAATTGGTGCCATAGCGTCTAGATCAGTCATTGGGAATTGTATGCCTTTCATTTTTAATTCTTGATAAACTTGCACAACACCTTGAGTATGTGGCTGATGACGGAATGTATCTGCCCAAGTTTGGATTAAACTTAAAACTTTCTCTTGAACTGCTGTTGGTGGTTCATTTTTGGGACCGATTAATTTAAATAAATCTTGCACAAATTCTCTCGAACAAGCAAGAGCATGAAAACGTTTTCCACAATTTTTCACACACGTTTCCAACACCTATTATATAGAAATTATATTATGTTGTTCAGCCACTTACGTTATAAATTAATAAACATAAATATGCTCATATTCACAATATTTTCATAATGATTTCGTCAAGACGACATGCTTGAAAATATAGTCATACTGCCAATAGATGTGACACTTTCAATCATGTAAATTCAAAAATTTAAAACTGTCAAATGGCACTTGATTAAAGCACTTACTTATTGTATTTTTACTGTTACAAAGATTCACACGGCTGATGCATCAAGTACTCAATTGAAGCAAACTAGATATACTGGACATGACTCTACATATAAGCATTAATATCATTATGATATCTACAATACTAACGGTAAGCGTATACATCACTATGGTATAATTTTTGCCCGCTGCCTGATTGAGTCTGCGTTTTATAGCTTTAATAGCATCTTTTGGCCCATCCTCGGTTTCGTTTATAATATCACATATCTCCATGTTAAGCGTCCAATTCTCGCTAGGTAAGTTACCATCTGTAGCAGATTCTGAAAAATGACAAAAAAGAAAAAAAACCATACTGACAACGACTGACGAGGACCGACAACGACTCGTTATGAGAGTACAGCTCTATACGGAATATTTGATACGCGCGACAATGCTATCGATCATGAATAATTAAATAAATTGATCAAAATAAAGTGTGAGATTGTGTTATCCGAGTACTTGGAATAGTTCTCGTTAACCAATAGATCTCTAATATCCAAAAGAATAAATATTCTCCCAGAGTGACGATAAACACCCTCGATATGATAATAATTCGATATGACAAGAAAAAGATGAGAAGTAGTAAAGGGTACTTACCGATCTTTTGTCCTACTTGCGTAGAAAAGGGATTGCTTACTCCAAAAAGTGACATTTTCTCGAAGCACGTAGAACTTGCGTCTTGTTAACTACCGCGTTTTCTACCCTTTCCGTCGTCTACACTCCCTCGCATACGTATTACGTGAAACGTGTCCGATAATCGCTGACAGGAATGACAATTGACGTACGCTGACAATTTGTCAATTTCGCGTAAGACTGATTCAGACCGATTGACAGAATCATATGACCTATACAACGGTAAAGCGGATAATAAAGGCGGACCGAGGTGCCCAGAGGCGAGAGACATCGAATCGCAACAATCACAAATGTCACGAAAGCGCGCGGCCGCCAATCAGCGACAACGACAACGCGTTGCCACTTGTGCCGCCCAATCATGCCCAATTGCGTCCAATGCTACGGCCGGGGCCAGATATCGTTTTCATTGAATCTATAAGTAAAAAAAACCACGATCATGTTCGATCGCTTGGCGAGCTGTTTTGCGAATTGTTTGCAGTTAATAATTGTGTTAATATGCATTGGAGGACTGGGGGGGGTAGACCACATATACAAAAAGGATGCACTCATTTGACCTATGGCGAATTCGGTAGACTGCACTAGTGCGCCCTGAGTGCAAACTTTTTCGGTGCCATGCATCTCGGATTGTGCGCACCACTGAACTATACGGCTCTACGCAGAATAAAAGGAATGAACAGAGAATAAGAATTTTAACCTATCAGAAATCATATACTGTGGAATAAACAGTGATCATGTTCAGCAGACTCAACTGTTGCGGAGTGGATCCGTGAGCGCCTACTGCTATTGGTATATTCTTTTAGATCATCCAATAGCAGCGAGCGCTCACAGATCCGCTCCGCAACAGTTGAGTCTGCTGAACGCGACCGTAGTGTGTATTCCATCATGATTTCTGATAGGTTGAAATTGTTATTCTCTGTTCCTTTTATTCTGCGCAGCCCCCTAATGGAAAGCGCTCTGCCCTCTATAGACATAGGCCGGTATTCATAGTCAGTTCTTATATTCAAGACCGTTTTAAGTTCAGTCTTGAAGAGTTACGAACCAATCAGAGGGCCGCTTAGCATCTTAAGACATTGGCTGCGTTCAGCAGAAAAAGCAGCTTTGCAACGGTTGTAAAATTCTTGAATATGATAGGCTTATACATTTAGATCTAATGAGGAAGTAAGGGCAAGACCAATCATATTAAAAAATTTTGCAACAGTTGCAAAGCTGCTTTCTCTGCTGAACGCAGCCATTACTTCAAATAAGACAGCTTCAAATAAGAACTGACTTATGAATACCGGCGATAGGGTGCATCCAGAAGCACAACCGCTCATTGACTCAGTTTACACCCAGCCATCCAATCCCGATTCACTTCGAAGTGAAGTGAAATTTCTTGGGTGTAAACGAAGTTTGGACTGATTTCAATCCTCTTTTCTCAGCGGAGTAGAGCGATCTGGTGTAAACATTCCATAAATCCACTTCACTTTTTTGGCTGCGGTCGAGTTGCCACTACGAATGCTTTGAAGCGTTTCTTGATTGGTCAATTTGTAAAACTCTTTCTTTTGATTGGTTAATCAAACGCTTCAAAGCATTCGTAGTGGCAACTCGACCGCAGCCACAGTCTTCAAATAAGAACTGACTATGAATACCGGCCATAGAGGGCTCAGTGAGCTCTTATACCTGTTTGGTTTATATTTTTAGATCTAATTGAATATGCCAATCAGACAAAAGTATACAAGCACTCATCCAGAAGTATACAAGCGCTCATTTGCCTATTTTACCGCACTAATCTAATATCAAAATCGTGCTGAAACCGAGGCTCGCGATATTTTTACATTTTTTCATACAAATCATTTTACTATATTGTTCGATATAGTGTCAATCAAGTTATCAATTTTTACGACTGCATAGTATTTTTCAGGACACATTTTTAGACAACGATAAATTTCGCTCTCGCAACGTAAAAGGATTACCAGCGCGCAATCGCGATAATTATTAGACAATTTTCTGTCTAAAGAAGTATCCCGATTAGGTATGCAAAATTCAGGTATTATCAGGTATTATTGACTCACATGTAAATGCAATAGGTATGTACATACAGTTATACATACGAGTATGAAATTACATTGATCGTTTTATTTTCCAGTGTCAATGTAATCGAGAGCTACTTATATTGAATCCCTTCATGACATCGGCTGAACATTTTATTAGCCTTATAACAGTAACAAGTGCAAAGAAATTAGCTACTGCGCTTGTTGTCTGTTTTATTATATATCATGGTGTCATACATCTTATTTATGGTATATATATGTATAGTAGAAATGCCTGCAGAGTATCAAAATTAACAATAATCATAAAAATTATAAAGACAACTTTACAGTGCTACATTTTTTGTTTTTTAATTTAAATAATATAAATAATTTATTATTTTGATGCAAACAAATTATTAACAACTTCTGTCATAGGTAGCGATTCTTGCAAATGGTTATTGACAGAAGGTAGATACAAAGGAGACAAGGAATGGCAACCGTACGGCTGCATGATGCACCACTATACACAAACGTAAGATTATTATTCTTAATTTATTTTAGAAAGAGAAATTAACTTTTGTATAGGAGAAAGAAAGAAAGAAAGAGAAATATGTTACTTTACAGAGACAGCAGAAGATGTATGAGATATCTAGCTTTCATGGGCCACCATAATCATTTTGTATTTATCGGTGATACTAGAATAAGACAATTATATAAATCATTTGTTTCACAATTTATGGTCGATGGTAAAACATCCGATCTTACGGAGCTACCAGAAAACTCCGATTTGGGCTTTAATGATGGACAACTTAAGTTAAACGTACAATTTCTATGGAGACCACGACTTGATAATTCTATGATAGTAGACCTTAGAAGCTGGATGGTATGATACATTTATATATTATACAATAAATAAATTATATAAATAAACAGACACATAGAGTTTGAATCAAGGGACAAAATAATAATATTTATATAAATTTATATTTATTTCTACATGTTGTAGAAGGCAGATGCACCTAGTGTCATTGTCGCAGGCTCTGCTGCAGCTACGATTCTCGTAAATAATAATAATGATACGCAACTTTATTCAGAATACAATACAGGTTTGATTCGATTAGTTCAGCCAATAGACTTTTTGGCTAAAAAGGGCTCTCAATTTCTATGGCTCTTACAAGATCCTGTACTAAAGGAAAGATTGCCTGCACAATTGTCGAGTTTAGACAACAAACAGATTAATTTGTGCAACAAAGCAGCCGAGAAGGTAACATCAACGATACGTTCACCTGATAATTTAAAGAAAAAAGATAAATACTATTTTATAATCGCTGTATACAGATATTATCTCACAGTGAGGCTCGTATATGGCAAAGTAGCAAATTAGTCGGTACGGGTGTTCTTGAACAAAGTCCAGATGGTTATTTGGCAAGTCCATTGTCACTTCGCCATAAAGTTCAAATACTATTAAATACATATTGCAATGATCATATGAATTTCGATGATGGCAGTTGTTGCAGTTATCCTGAGCCGGCAACTACTTTACAATTGTTAACTTTATCTGCGCTTGCATTATTGTAATTGAGTATCTAATATCATCTTGTTTGTATATTAATTATATGATATATTCTTCCTACGGAAAACAATTTTTGTAATAATCTTTTATAGTGTAATAATAGGAGGAAGTGTATGGGTATATAGAAAATTGTGCAAGTATCGTTCCGAAGTGTCCTATTCTCATGTCATCACCGAAGAAGTAAGTGACACAGAAGAAGCAGGTACTTCGGAGGTCATTCAAGTTAAGCAACCTGAGGTACAAGATTTCTATACCCTCATTACATCACTGGCTCTCTTTTCTATTATATTGGCATATTTTTACTTATGCGACAGGCAAGTAATTGATTACTCTTGCGGGCTTTATAAATCTTGTCTTGATATTACAATAATTTTAATAATTCTCTGCTCTCTTATGTATCATTTTTAGAACAAATTTTTTTATGAAGGAGAATAAATATTACAGTGAATTCAGTTTTTGGCTACCACTTGGCTATATCTTGGCTCTTGGATTATTTTTCACTGAAGATCGTGAGAGAGGACCGAGAGTGTTAAATAGAGAACAAACGGATGAATGGAGAGGTTTAATGCAAGCAGTTGTGCTCATATACCATGTTACTGGTGCCAAAAATGTTTTACCGATCTATATGTATTTAAGATTGATTAATTCTGCCTACTTATTCTTGTCCGGATATGGACACTTTTATTATTTTTGGCAAACTGGCAACGTATCTCTTGTTAGATTTGCTAGAGTAAGTATTAGGAAAAAGAAGTTTTATAGTGCAATTTAAACTGAAGTCGTCAAAATTTATATATTTTCGCCTGTGGAATCAAATCTGGTTGTTGTGTTTCAGGTCATGTTTAGATTGAACTTATTGACAATATCTCTATGCCTTTGCATGAACAGGCCGTATCAATTTTATCATTTCGTACCATTAGTATCATTTTGGTTTTTGGTGATTTATTTTTTAGCTTGGTTACCACCCAGAATATATTCTGGAAGTTTAACAGAATATGGACCAAGAGCCTTGCTGTACTTTGCTCTAAAACTCTTGGGTCTTGTATCAACAATTACCGTATTATACATGTCGGAGGTAGGTAATGAAAAACTTATTTTTTCTGAAAAACGTGTTCAAAATTACAAAATATAACACGTTTTATTAACACAGGTGTTCTTTGAGAAAGTTTTTGTCACGAGGCCCTGGAAAGCATTATTCGTGACGACTGATGATGATATCCGTGAATGGTGGTCTCGTTGGAGAGTCGACAGATACAGTGTAGTTTGGGGCTTGACTTTCGGAGCTGGTCTTGTCGCTCTTCAGAGAATAGATCACATTCCGGGCACTGCGTTGTCTTCTATATTGGCATTGATTTCCTTAATAGCGTATACTACGTTTACGATTTTGTGTCATTCTGTATCAGAATGCGAAGAAATTCATTCTTATGTTGCGTTCATTCCGGTAAACTGCTCTAATTACTTTATTGTTTATTCGTTACCATTATATTATATTTTTCACCGATTCATTTATTAACGTTTTTTTTTTTTTTTTTT